CAATTGTGCTTCAATCTTCTTAGTCATTGTGCCTTTAATTTCCAACATATAAAACCTGCACAATACACACACAAGCACAATACCTGCAAAAACAACAACTAATACACACAACACAACCTTTTCTCCCCCTTTGGCATTATCAAAAACAAAGTAAGCCAAGTTTCACAATTATAAGCCATGTACAGAGTATATCCAGCAATAACCAAGTAAAAAAAACTTTGGTTCAGCAATCCAAATTGAATCATTTGTGTACCAATTATCCACAACTCAGAACAAGTCAAGCCAAGAAAAACATTACCACAATATCAAAGAAACTTACTGAATTTGGAAAGAAATAGTTTGAATTATCCAATTTTGGATGATCTTTCTCCTCATTGGACTTTTCAACAAAAGTCTTCATACTAGGACAATTTTCTATTTTCAGTGTCTCTAAGGATGGAAATTCAGCTGCAATAGGAAAGGCAATGGAGAGATTTAACAGATTTACAAGGGAAACATCCTTCAAATGAGAAAATGTGGTTTTACCTCTCGTTCCTTCTTCCTCATGGATGGTCATAATTTTATGCAAGGCCATACAATCTGTAATTTCCATATTTTTTAGCCCTTGAGATATGGGCAACCATTCAAGAGACTCACAATTCTTCACTTGTAGGATTTTCAAGTTTTGATAGAGCTCGACAATTTCTTCATTGATGATTTGAGTTAATTTAGGTAGATCATTCAAGATCAATTCATCTAACTGTTGTAAGAGCTCAGTTGAATGAGATATTGTTCCACCAATATTGAATAACATTTTCAATTCCATACAATCACTCACAATGAGTTTCTTCAATTTTCCTAACTCTTGTAAAGTCTTAGATGACACAACAACAACCAACTTGTCACAACTACGTAACGTGAGTTCATTTAGCTCAAAGAAAGACTTCCCATCAATAATTGTGGACGATGCATCTTCGGTTGCAAACCCATTTGTGAATGATGTCAATTGAGGACATTTTTCTATTGTCAAGGATTTTAGACTTGGCAATTCTACTCCATAACTGTAGAAACATTCCAATCCTGAGAGAGACTTCAACTCTACCTTGGTTAGTGATGGGAACTTTGCTGGTAGTATCTGATTTTCATTAAAAGAATGAACTAAATTGCTTAACGACTCACATGCCTCTAACTTTAATTCATTTAGTTGGTGGAGCTTCTCTGTTGTAGAATAATAGAATAGAAGTATTAGAGAGGGGCAACTTTTGATGTGTATCAATTGGAGATTTTCGAGGCCAAAAATTTCTATTTGCTTCCAATGCCATACAATTTTTAGATTATATAGTTCTATTAATTTTAATTCCCTCATCTGTGTGAAATATATAGCATGTCCATCTTCATCAGGGGAAACATCAAACAAATATTGTATTGTATTGCATTGTTGAATGTTGATAACTTCAAGTTTATTTTGCCTCTTCATCAAAATAACGAGAAATCTAATCAGCTTTTCATCGCAATTTTTTGCCTGGAATATTAACAAGTTGGTGAAATGTGATGGTCGAAGATTATCCAATATCTTGTGTAATTCCTTACTGTCACCAATTTCATACTTAGTAGTTGTTGATAATTCATCATCCTGTAAATTTTTCTACTCTTGTTACCATTTTGTGCAACTAGAGTGGCAATTATTCAAACATAGAGTAAAAGACTCACTAAATATATATCCAATACCTTGAAAGAAGTAAGGTAACCTATTTTTCATAATTAAGTCTCCCAAATTTTAAATTTAAATGCAGATTTTTTTTTATCAAATATTCTTTATGTACATATTTGAAATTTAGGAATTAACCTAATTTGAAGAATTTTTTGAAAGTTGTAAAATAGGATTTAATTTGACAAATAATTTTTTTTGATAATTTTCAATTTTGGTTGAAATTTAATGTTTTGGTTAATGAGTTTTGAGCATAGAAAGATTTAAAACAATTTAATAGTATTAAATTTTTATAACGTATTTAAGTTGAAAATGAGAATTTAAAGACTCATAATAGAACAATATTTATAAAAGAATCAAAAGTCACTCGATCAATCTAAAAAGTGGGTGGACTTAATTAATTAAAAAAGTTTAGATTTGAAAATCATAGTTAATAACAATTAAAGAAGGCAAAAGCATAACCTTAAACAAGCTTAATGTTTTTAGTCTATTATGGCAAATAGTGTTGTGATAGAGAACTAACCCATGATTCAAAAAAATAGATAACTTCTGTATCAATGTTATGTTGCACTTGATTTTCCATGATGAATGATTTTAATCGTGACTCTTTTGTCTTTCCGAATCCAAACTTCTTTAAGTTAGGGCAGTGGTTCAAAATAAGATTCTCCAAGTATGGCCATTCAACAATGTCTCCTGAGGAAAAACTCCCTAGATTGGGCAAGTCTTCACAATACACTGTATTTGTTTCCGGAAATTCCATTCTTATTGTGACATCTTTGATTTTTTTAAGATCAAAATATCTTTCCTGTATAATCCAAGGCAATTCTTCATGATAAGCCAATTTTTCTTAAGGTTGTTAGCATGTAAACAAATAATAAGAATTAATTGGGGACGTAAAGTTTATACTGTCATATAAATTTAATGTCGTCAACTTACAATATAATAAATTAAAAGAATACTAACACCAATGAAAAACATAAAAATTGGTGGGTCTTTCATTCTATATAATGACCCTCTTTCTTAATTTTTGGTTTTCAATAAAATATATTCAATGAGAAATGATATTAAGAAGAGTATGTTAAAGGATGTATTGTTAACACTGTTCACAAACTTAATATTCTCAAATAATTAATCTATTATTTATATTTTATTTTAAAATTATTAAATTAAAAATATTTACTAAAATAAAAATCTCTCTCTCTCTCAAACATACTCTGAATTTACGCTAGATTTAAGAATCATTAATTTGGTGACTATAATAAAACATTGTGATTTGATTTGTTTACTAAACATGTAAAGTAAAATAAGTTGTATTGCAATAGTAGGAAAAAGAAAATGAGTAGTGATAGTATGAAGAAAAAGTGATAAATATTTGTCACCATTATGCCGTACGCCCTCCCCCAGCGGAAGCCAATAGTGTATCTGAGAATATTTAACATTTCCCACCTCTCCCCTTCTGCCATAGCAGCAAATATATATGAATGAATATAGTTTTTCGTTGGTATGTGCTTTTATGGAAGAAACTCCTCTTTATGTGCTTTTATATATCAAACCTCAACTCAACGTTTTTTATTACAATGACTCAAAAACAATACATATATTATTCAAAAATAATATAAACTAATTCAAATATAATGCAACTGTGAATCTTATTCATAGATAACCAAGATTTTCTTTATTATTATAGTACTAATTAAATAAAATATTAAGTTCCAACTTTGTTATTAAACGAATAAAAAAATAAGAAAATAATTTTTAATAAATATGATTACCACCTTTCATGTTAATCGAAGTAACTTTTTTTTTTTTATCAATTCAGTTTATACAACTCCAGTACTATAAAATTTTCAACATGAATCATTAATTTTCACAATACAATATCTTTACACAATTCAAAAAATGGTATGTTTATAATAGAAACTAAATAACTAACTATATATATGCTTTTATGATGTGTATGGATTTGTATAATTCAAAATGAAATGGATTATGGTAGTGTAACTGCACGGCGCTCCTTCTAATTGTCTCTTTGATAGTCTTCAGCTAAATTTACCTGCTTGAGACTCTCCAAGAAATATAATTTCATATCCGTGAAGTCGAAATATTTATAACTTAGAAAATGCTTCAATTTTTTATTCTGTCAATGGACATCAAGTTTAAGTAATTCCTTTCTTTCATTCTACCAATTTCAAAAACTAATTCCTTACTTAAATTTAAGTAAAATTCCTTTTTGATTCTACCAATTTCCAAAAGGAATTCCTTACTTAAAACTAATGCCAGGATCTAGAATAAGAATATCACAATTACTTTGTCACCACAGAATGCATGCTTTTATGAAGAATAATATAAACGGAACAACTTCTGCAATACACCTTTTTCTCCAAAGCTTTTCTATATATAAATATTATTATATATAAAAACAAAAAGAAGTAATTTCTTTAACAGGGAACAAATAATATTAATAAAATATATTAACGATACTTGATTTAAAATTCAAATAAAACTAAAAATAAAAAAATAATATTTAATATTTTTGTAATGTCATTAATTACTATAAGAATTGCTACATTTATGTTTGATTAATTAGTAATGATGGATACTAATAATATTAATTTAAAAATTACAATATTTATATTATCAAATAAATATTATATAATCTATATGTATATGTATATAATTTATACTTAATATATATATATATATGTGTGATTATAATAATTGTCATTTGTGATTTTTTCCTCATTCTATGTTTTAATACTTTACACATTTTACAACTATTATATGTTTAGTTTAATGGTTTTTCTTAATACTACTACCTAATATAATTAATATCTATGATGATTTCAGATATATATATATATATATATATATACTTCTTCCTTTTTCTTCTTTGTAGACTTATGCTTGGCTTTCTTTTCTTTTTTTTTAAAAAACTTGTTCTAATCTCTTAAGTAGGCCCAAGCAAGTAGCGCGAGGATTTCAGGCCTCCAATTTATTTTAACATTAATATACTACTATAAAATTAAAAATATTTAATTTTAAAATTCAACCTAAAAGAATTTTTAATTAAAATTTTAAAATATTCTTACTAACTGTGAAGTTTATATTGGTACTATAAATACTATTTAATGAATAATAATTTTGAAATTTCTCCTAATCAATAATAATATTAAAAAAAAAAGATATTGATTAGTTATTTTAATAGGTAAAGAAACCCTAAAACTCTCTAATTTCCTATCTCTTTTTGTGAGTCTCTTTGACCACTCCTTGACTTCTTTTTGTTACATCATAACAATAATATAACAATAATATTTATAAATTAATATAAAATCCAATTAATTCACCAATTTAATACAATATTAAATCAAATAGTAAAACTCCCAATTTTTCTAAAACCTAACTCACAGACACTTTTCTACAATTTCTTCTCTCTCTGCTCAATTAATTCACCAATTTAATACAATATTAAATCAAATAGTAAAACTCCCAATTTTTTCAAAACCTAACTCGCACGCACTTTTCTACAATTTCGTTCTCTCTCCTAGATCATCATTTTCACAAATTAAATATATATTTCTAATCTCAATACATACATAATCTAATGGAATCATCAATTCCTCAAACAGAAATAATTATAAAATTACCTATAATCCCAAGGGATTCTTCCTCTACCCAATTTTCTCATGTAACTCTACATACAAATAATCCCATTTTCTCCTGTAACTTGATAAATAGTAGCTAAAACTAAGCAGGATCCGGTTGGTCTCCTCTACTAGATTTCCCTCGGTCTTCAGAGAGTGTAGAAGAAGAAAAGAAGTCAGAACTGAAAAGTGTGCTTTTTGGGAGTGCTAGAGCTCTCTATTTATAGGCATCAGGCGTCGCCGGAATGACCTGTTTTGAATTCCGTTCTGGACTCTTACGTTATGTGTAAAATTCACATCCAGAACGTTTTGGGGTTGCATTTAACCCATAATGACAATATTTGGAACGTCCCGTTGTGAGCTACACTACAAAAAATATGCAATTTAGCGATCACCAAAATCGGTCACTAAATGTTTATTTTTTATTTTATTAAATTTTATAGACGTCGCAAATTTGGTTGCTATGAATCACTCATATTCGGCCTCTTAAGGATTTTATTTCACAATACTTAAGTTTTTAGCATGTTTTGTCCTTAATTACACAATTTTTTGGATAGTTCCCAAGAGGTCACCCATCCCTATACTACTCCAAGTCAAGCACGCTTAACTGTGAAGTTCTTATGAGATAAGCTACCGAAAAGCAAATGTATGTTGTTAGTATAGGTAGTACAAATTAATTCATTTAAGTCATCCTCAACTATCCAATCTCATACTTATATTATTTTTGGATCCTTATCATTTTGGTATATCTGGACCGTTATAAATATATAATAATATATATAATAATTATATTACTAATAATAATAATTATATTATATTTAATTAATCTTTATTTATATATATACTTACTTTTATAATTAACAATCTACTTATTTCTATTTAAAATTAATTTTATGATACAATTTAAATTATTTATTATAAATTTAAAAGTTTAAGTAATAATTTATATATTTTAAAATGAGAAGGGTTATAATAACACTGGTATAACTTTTACTAAGTATTACACCGCTCAATAACTTTATATTAAATGTGAATTTTGTAAATCCAACCGTTAGATTGAAAGTTCATATCACTTTATATGTTTATATCAAGTTTTGTTAAAATTGAACAACAACTTGAAAGTAATCAAAGTGCTCATATTTTATTTGAAATGTATATATTACGTCAATTTTGTTTTACAAGAATGAAGTATCAAATCATCTTGAATTCATATAAAATTTTGTATATATGATCTAAGAGTAAAAAACTTTCAATCTAACGGTTGAATTTATAAAATTCACATTTAATATAAAGTTATTGAGCGATGTAATACTTAGTAAAAGTTACACCGATGTTATTATAACCCTTCTCTTTTAAAATATTATTTTTATAAATTAAATTTTAACATTTTAAATAAATTATTAATTAACTTAATATATTTATTCATCTTAAATCTAAGATATAAAATTCAAAAAATGTATTTATCCTTGTTTTATTTTCTAATTATCAACCATTAATAAAATACTAATTTAAAATCTTATCTAGTTATATCATAATATTTTCATATCAAGTTTAAAATCAGATATTAGTTATACAAAAATATTAAAATCATATAGTAAATTATTAATAAGATTCTAGTTAAATAATTTAAAATAATCAATTTTATCACACAACAATAAAGAAATACTAATAGTTAAGAAAATACATTTGTACTCTTCCTATTAGAAAAAGAGAGGATCTTATAATTCTTTTTTTCCTTAAGATATCACATCTCTTCTATCAATAAATTTAAATATAAAAATTTATTTAAAAATAAAGTTATCATAAGTTAGAAATATATATTATAAATATGGATCAAAATAAATAAGAAATTTTAAAAAATTCATATACTCTAATTAAAAAAATGCCTAAAAATCCAATTGTAAAAAAAAACTCTAAATATTTTTTCACATAAATAACTATTGGTATTAATTATGTAGGAGTGCATATAAATATTTTTTTTATTATAAATTAATGTCTTGCTCTTACAAAAAAAAAGAAAATGGAATTGATACTCAACAACAATATTATCATCACTTTTAAGAAATTTATAAATTTTTTTAAGTTTTATTTAGCGACCGAATAGAATTTCGTCGCTAATTTTAACTAATATTTAGCGACCAAATAGAACTCTGTTGCTACTTTTAACTACTATCTAGCGACCAAATAGAATTTCATCGCTAATTGTTACTAATATTTAGCGATTGAATTTAATTCTATTGCTAAAAAAATCAAACTTTCTGATTTAGCGACCGAATTCAATTATGTCGCTAATTTTAACTAATATTTAGTGACCGAATTTAATTCTGTCGCTAAAAAAATCAAAATTTCTGATTTAGCGACCGTAATTTAATTCCGTCACTAAATTTAACTACTATTTAGCAACCGAATTCAATTCAGTCGCTAAAAAAAATCAAAATTTCTAATTTAGCGACCGAATTCAATTCCGTTGCTAATTTTAACTAATCTTTAGCGACCAAATTCAATTCTGTCACTAATTTTAACTAATATTTAGCGACTGAATAGAATTTTGCCGCTAATATTTAGCGACCGAATTTAATTTCGTCGTTAAAAAAATCAAAATTTTTGATTTAGGACTGAAATAGCGACAGAATTAAATTCTGTTGCTAAAAAAATCAAAATTTCTTATTTAGTGTAACAACCCGCCATAGTCTCTACACTTAGTGGAATCGCACTACTGCTAGTGAACTAAGAGAAATATTAAGCTGGATAACTCATACATACAGGTATAAATAAGAATGAAAATAACTAAGTTTCTGGTTATAAAATAGAACGCCTGTCATCCCAAAAATAATATTTCCTAGTTCCGGTCAAGCATAGAAAAAATCGTTACCCAAA